CTTTGGAGAGGATAAACTATTGTAAACTTTTATAACACTTAGCATAATACAATTATCTTTAAATGTATAATTTCCTTTTTTTTTTTTTTTTTTTTAAGTAGGCTCCACGTCCAGTGTGGAGCCTAACGCAGGGCTCGACTCATGACCCTGAAATCAAGACCGGAGCTGAGATCAAGAGTCAGACGCTCAACTGACTGAGCCACCCAGGCGTCCCGGTATAATTTCCTTTTTAATGTCAATTAATAATAAAGATCAAACTAATAATTTTACTCACCAGTCATCTGAAACTGCCACATTACTGACAGTGCAGTACCCTGGTTCTTGGTTCTCAGTACAAGAGTCCACAGTTAAGGAAGCTGCCTATAAAGCAGAAGGAAACATTCATCTTGGGTTCTGCCATCCCATTGTCCTTTTCAGCCAACACTACCCAGCACTTGTTTTTACATGGACATGATTTTGAAATTGTGATAACAATTAGTATATTATGACATAGTACAATTACAATACCAAATTTTGGACACATATTTCTTTCACATGTCTAAAACTGTGAAAGCATTACATATAAGAGGTGGGAGGGTACTTTGAAAAATCTTCTCAAGCCCCTTTGTTTTATAAATGAAAAACTATAAATGCCATTAATGTCTCTTACAATATCATACAGGAAGCTTATGGGACATATGGGACAGCTTCCTGGGGTTACAATCTTAAGAAACCTGTTTAAGGTGTTATCCAGCTATTCTAACAAATGAAAAGACATTAGAGTTCTGATTTTCAGAAGTTTTATTCCAATACTATTTTAGTCGTATTTACAAAAATATTTTCAAAGCACAGTGTAAATACTATTAGAGCAATCTATGAAAATTATTATACTTGTATTAAAAATAAAGTTTGAGACAAAGTAAACAAGTTAGTTAGATGCCCCTTCCACTTATGATAAGAATCTTTATTTATAAATAGTGTATTACAGTGCATTTCTGCATTATTAGAATGCATTATTATCTATTGTGATACAGTAGAAACTCCCCAATAATATTTAAATTACAACTAACAGTAACTATTTTTGCATTCCAAGAAATGCATACCCCCGAGACAAAACTCTTCTGTTTACTAGAACATATGAATGCTGAATACTCGATGTGATCAATAAATGGAGTTATCAAATTGTGGTCACAAGATTCAGGAATATGACTGAAGTCAGGTTTCTCCATATCGAGCAATGGCCACTAGAGATGACTGTGGTCCGGTATAAGACCAAGGTTGTTGCATATTCATGTTATCCTGTGCTCTGCAATGCTATTGTAATGTCCCTCCTTCGTTCCCCAAACTGCAGTAAAATTCTGCAAGTGACAAAATTTTGCAAATTTTAGTTGGTGAAATTATAAGGATGATATTCACAATGTGGTATTTCAGAACATGGCCAGTAAATCACAGGAGAATGCCTAACCCCAAATCCAGAAGTACAGGAGGACTAAGGGTTTCTCCCAAGGCAAACAGTAAAGGGTTCTACTTAAATTTACTTGAATGCCACAAGCAGGGCTAATCCAATTATATAATAAAAATATAAATACTATGCAAGTATTAATTTTTAAGAATGGTTTTCATTTGAGGTTAATTGTAATAAAAGCAAAGCAAATGTCAGAAACAGCACAGGGAGGTTGAGCGAGTTGACTAACATTACACCTGACATATATGCAAAAGTATCAGGTTCTCTGACTTCCTGAATTATTACATATGGAAATGATTCATTTCCTTAACATCCAATGTTTATCAATGGTGGATATTATTTTTTAGAGATTGTCCATAAAAAATTATATTTGGATGGGACATTTGTAAAAGTGTATCTTAAATATCCAGCATTTCAAAAATAAAGAATGGGGTCAATTTATAGTTTTTGTGCATCAAATATTACTGGCTAAAATATTCAAAGATTTTTCTATCAGTTAATTATTAGAATTGATTATAAACCCCATACAATAAATTCTCATGAGCCATGTAAATCTTTTCCCGGCCACCTTCTCAAGGCAATTATAATAAATACAAATATTTTTAGGAAACACTTACACTTCCAATTCTGTGTCAAGAATTTCATGCCTCATTTAGTTAATTCTTTCAATAGTTAATTTTTTTCCAGTGTTCTATAATAATTGAGTGACATTCTGTCTCAAAAGCAATATTAGGTTTTTGAGATACAATTTGTGTCGCTCATGTTGACTATTTGACTTAAGCACAATTCCCTTTAATTTATTTCTAAAACAAAATGTTTACACATCCCTCTTTGTATACTATGCAAAGTGTCCCTCCATTCTAGAGATCCCTAAAGCTATCACAAACTACAGAATATCACATAGATATTTATGAATGTCTCAAATAGGAAAAAAAAAGAACCCACCTTACATAATGGCATCGTATTTCGGTCAATCTTAATAGTTAATATAGTTTTCTTATTTTCTAAAAGCTTCATGATACAGCACAAAGAAAGAACGCCAGAGGGGAAGTTTTATTTGAATAGCAGCTTGTGCAATTTAATCTTCAGAGTTAAATGTGCTTTCTCTTACCGTTGAATTTTTCTACCAGTACTGCTGTAAATTGAGATGTTTCTATCCTGTCTATTCAATGATTCAAAGCTGAGAAGTTAATGATTTTGCCAGTTTCTAACAAAATCCCTTTGAACTGCAGAAAACGACAGATTCAAAATCCAGTAGGGGCCTTATTTTCGATGTTCTTTAAGATAGGATGACATTTTTTTCCTCTGACTGAAGAATGACAAAGGTATTTTTTTCCACATTTGGTATTCTTTAAAACTTGATGACTATGGCCACACTTTACAAATGAACTGAAAGCATTTTTTTTCTATCCCTTTTGGCATACACAGTACCTCTTTCTTTGCTCTCGCTCTTGCTCCCAAGTGCTAGTTCAATAGAATTAAATCTTCATGAAATTTAAAGGGACCTGGGAGGTCATCAGATAAAATCATCTATTCTACATAAACATCTGTTGACCACACCTTAGCAATTTGGTTATCTCACATATGCTTGGAGAATTGGGGTGAGGTGTTACCTGCTATGCCCCATTAGGGTCCTGTCATTATTAGTAAATCATTGTGGCTCATGGAAGCCCCGATATACAATATAGATAGCAGACTCCACATGTTTGTTCTAATTCTGTCAGGTTTGATAATGCTGGGGTAAATTGATAGTCAGGAATGCCGGAATTCTCTAAATCTGTATTCTCCTAGAGGTCCTTCTCTGAGCATACTAGTTTGGTATTAGGCTGGTTTTAAAAATCTCAGGCAGAGATAAACATACTGACTTATTACTAACGTAAAAAATTATTATTTCCAAGTTTTGTTTGTTATACCCCTATTAGGATCCACTGAAATCATTGTGACTCTTTAGGCACTACTCATAATTAAAACTTTATTGAGATTAAGTAAAAGATTTTTTTTTTTTAACCTCAAAAGGCTATATGGGGCAGTGTTGTTGGAAACTCAGGATGACTAACATTTATCAAGCACCTATTTAATATCAAATATATAAAATTTTAGATATGATTTATATTAATCTTTGCATTAATATCAAAATGTGGAGATATTATTCCCATTTATAAACCAAATTTTTATTTTCAGTTCAACCCCTTTTCAATAAACAAAGCCACCTTGAATTACTATCAAATCAAAGCTCCAAATGAGTACTTTTCAAGTAGATTTTTTAAATAAATTACTTTACAAACATTGATGCTCTAAATTGCAATTATTGTTACTAAATTTTATTCTTGTTTTGATCTTATTTTCAGAATTTTAGGGGTAATTTTGTTAAGTAAAAGTTTTATAAATTAAATATATTAGAAAAAAGTTATAGTTACAGAATATTAACACCAGCATAAGAAAATGGAAGACAACATATAATGAAAATGATTCACAAATTTTCACTGATACTTTTATTGCTTTCTCACATATATTTCAATAGACTACATCTAATAACCTGGTAGAATCCTGAATGCAACACAGTGGATATGGGGATATCTGTGGATGAATATCAGGACATCTAACCTTGATGGTGATGATACGATTATCTGGCCATCTTTAGACCCATCACTATTCTTTTTTTTTTTTTTTCCTTGTATGAAAATATTTCTGTATTTAAAAAATTGTTTAAATCTTCTTTCCTATTTTATATTAGAGTTGTGGGGAGAAAAACCATTATAGCCGATGTCATTAAAAAAGTCCCAAAGCACATGGATTTAAAATACTCTGGAAAAACAAATGGAGAATTTTGTCCTTTGATAAAGACTGCTTGTTATCTATATTTGTAAAAAAAAATTAACATAATAAGATTGCTTCTGTCTTATGCCTTTATGAAATCTGTAATTATAAAGGGCACAAAAATTTTTGTTTTAAACTATGGATCACAGAAAAAATAGCAAAAACATGGTAAAAAACATTTTCTATGTTCTTTCTGCAAGTTTTTTACATGTAGTCCAACAATATAAAGTGTTCCCAAAATTTAGTGTTAAAAATATTTGTATCATCAAATATACGATTCATTTGATCAGTTTCAGAACCATATAACTCATTATAATATTTTTTATATTTTTCAGATTGCCACAGAGCTAAGAGATAAAACTATAATCATTTAGATCCCAAGTTTCTTCATTTAAAAATTATTTCAGAGCATGTATTTTGGTTTTTTTTTGGCTGATTTTTATTTTAACATATGACTTTATGCTTTTTCATTCTATTTCTTTGAAGGGTGAAATGTAAATTTTAAAGAGTAGTTATAATTTTAAAACCCTGATGTAAAATCCAAAAATATTTTAAAATAGTTTTTGTTAGCAATTACTTTTTCAAAAACTCTCGATTGTTGTTGAAAATGGGGGAATCCATGAAGAGATAGTTGGGAAGGCAAATAAATGAATACATAAATAAATAAGTCTTTCCATTCTATTGCTCTATCTCAAATGTTTTCAAACCCTAATAGGGAAAATACATCATGCATTTTCCTTTATAAAGAAAAATGCTTGTTTAATGAACATAAATACTAAGTAAATATGCACCACCTTATTGTAATATGAGAGCCATATAATTAAATGGAATATAATATGGAAATCTTTAATATTACTGAGTTTATAATTCTGAGAATACCTTAGATAGTCAACAAACAAAAACTTCATTTTCATACCATGTCGTAGACCTCACAGATGACAGCACATTGAGGTTCTGGTACAGTAAGAATTACTCACTACTGTATTGGAATATGTATTAGTATCATCTTTTGTCAATAATTTATTTGTAGGAAAGTTTTTTTCATTTGTTTTCAAATTGTTTCTTCAGTTAGGGCTGGGATACTTAGAAAAGTAGCCATTTTAAGTACAGTTCTGACGTGGCTTTAAACACATATAGGAAATGTATAAAATGAAATGTTTATGCACTAGGATGTTTTCTTTATTTTGCTACATTTTGTTGTTTTTGAGACAAGTTGTTTTTTGTGACAAATAGTTGTCGTGAGCAAAAGAAAGACATTACCTCTTTGCTGCTGTAGTTCATAACAAAACTGGTCAAATTTGCACCTCAATTCATGCTTTAACTTGAAAGCTTGATTGACCGGATGTACAACAAGTAAACAAGCTTTAACATAGAATGAAATGTCTTACCATTCCTGCTCTCCGGGCGATCACGGTGTGAAAATGTCCATCTGACACCTTCTTCATGGTGGTGAGTTTATATGTACCACTGCCTAGATTATAAGAGAATCTTAGTCTTTCTTCAGCAATTTCAAGGGCCAAAAACTCAGCCCGGTCCCCTGTCTGGTTGTCATAGTTGTAAAGCAGTAAAGCATGACTTTTAATAGTTGAAAATTTGACATAAATATAGTTGTTATTCGGATCCAAGCTGGGAAATTCCATGTATGATAACTCCTCAAATCCGTAGCTATTCAACTCACAGTGTTTTCCAAAGACACCTACAGATGGGAGAATTGACAGATTGATACATGAAATTCCAGTGACGTGTTAGTAAATGACTTTGATTAAGATATTCTTCAATTACAATAATGAATCATGCTTTTAACAACCTTTTTTGTATTAATCTCCAAAGAAAACTGTCTAAACTAAGTTGAAATAGAACAAATTAATGATCTTTAAAACACACAAGAGGTGAAAAAACTGCTGTATTTGTTTTTCTTTGGCCAACTAGGAAACATCTAAGTAGGTCTCATTTGTAAAAATTAGAATTAGTGGAATGGAGTATGTCTGAAGAGATTTCCTTCCTGGAAACCTTTCAAAATTAGCTTGTCAACTTTTTAAAAGTTTTAATATGCTGCAATTTTCAACTGAGATAACTTCCTTTATAATATATAATTTTCAAAAACAATTTCAATTCAATTGAGGTTGGCAAATTTTGTTTTGACCTTAAAAAATATTAGTCCCTGTCCTCATGGTATTTTCAGGAGCCACAAGATCAGGGAAGGGAATCACTGTTGTTCGGGAAGGAAATAACTGTCTTAAGTTTTTATCTCTTTCTTGTTTTATACCTTCTTTGGGTATGATTTACAACAGGCTACTTTAAAATAGCTTTCTGCCTTTTTTCTGAAACCCAGAATTCCCACTTGTTTGTGCTGGTTCTTTCTCAACTTGAAAAATGAGTTTTATTGATGTTACGATGTTACGCCAAAATTCTTTTCCCACAAATATTAGTCGACTGTAGCAAATGATTGGAAAATTAACCCACGCCAATACATCATGATTCTTACTAACTTGCAAAGGTTCCATTCCTTAATTTTGGCTGTACATCTCTCATAAATGCATTAAATTTAGAGTCAGGGAATTGTTCAGCTAGAAGAAACTAATGCCATCATTTCACAGAATATTTAAAACTTGCCTGAGGTCACAGAACCATGGGAGACAGAGCCAAAATTTGAGGCCAGATCTACTGATTGTCTAGTTGTTTTGACTGCACTACATCTTATATCCAAATGTTCTTTAAATTAAAATGGCCTAGAAGCTGCTGTAAAAGCTTGTGTTGTTTATCTTTTCCTGCTCTGTCAAGGCTGAGATAATATTCATTATAAATGTGCCGGAAATATGCATATTATTTATTTTTAAACATTAAATGAAGTTAAAAAGTAAAGAAATGATAGAAATTATATATACTATGTATATCATATGTCATACATTTATGTATACATAATATATATGATGTATATCATATAGTATTATATTTATAATTTATATCATATATATAACATATATGCAACAAACTTTAAAAGTTTATTTATATTAAATATACATTTACTATATTATATATACCTTACTTATATATACAGAAAGAGTAACCAAAGTTAAAGAAACAGCAAAGATAAACTATACAAATAAAATAGAGAGTTGAAGAAAAAAAACTGTACTATGTGTTCTCTCAGGACTCTCCTGATTAAATTTTGGTAAAAATATGAACATGGACTTAAAAATTAAATATAGGGGTGTCTGGGTGGCCCAGTAGGTTAAGCATCTGACTCTTGGTTCCAGCTCAGGTGGTGATCTCAGAGTTGTGAGACAGAGCCCCGCATCGGGCTCTGTGCTGAGTGCAGAGTCTGCTAAAGTTTCTCTCTCCCTCACCCTCTACCCCTCCCTGCCTCATTCTCTCTCTCTTTCTCTTGTAAATAAATAAATCCTTAAAAAAAAATTGAACATAGGGCCCCTGGGTGGCTCAGTCAGTTAAGCGTCTGCCTTCGGCGCAGGTCATGATCTCAGGGTGCTGGGATGGAGCCCCGCATCGGCCTCCCTGCTCAGAGGGGAATCTGCTTCCCCCTTTGCGCCTCCCCCTGCTCCATGCTCTCTCACAAATAAATAAGTAAAATCTTTAAAAACAATTGAATATAAATATATGTAGAAAGCATATAGATACTGGGAAGATATCCTATATTTTTATTCAAATTGATACTTGATACAAATTAATTCAGATATTTTCAGGCATGAAAATGTTTGTTTATGGAATATTTTGCTTCTTAAAGAGTTTTGTTATTGTTTCTAGAAAAAGGTAGATTTTTGTTTTTGAAATAAAATAAAATTTAAGGAAGATTTTAAAACAGCCCTTCAAATGAAATGTCACGAAATAGAACTACATAAAGATCAAGAGAAATTATTAAAATTACTCTAATAAGGAATATTCTGTGAGTGGGTAATTACACATACATACACATACATATGAAGTTATCATTATACAGGCTCCCTTTATAAAATCTTAAGCACTTTATGTTTTTCTAAATTACAATCTAAAAAAATAAAAATCTAAAAAAAATTTAAAAATCCAAACAACAAATCTTTCACTGATGAGAAAGTAAACAGTGCAATTTTTTTTTCCAACTTCAAAATTATAGTTAAGATGTTGATTTATAGGATGCATGTGTAACTACCTCCAGCTATTTGTTTGAGGCATTCCATCTGTCATTTGTATTTCCGTGTTCCACCCCCATTCAATTTGAAAAGGAAAATACTTTGTCCTTTTAATTCTATCTCTCTGGTCTCAAGTCATGTATTACCGTTTCAAGGTTTTCTGTTTTTTTTTTTTTCTTTCTTTCTTTTATAAATCTTCTGTTGCCAAAGGACAATGTCAAAGTTTAAATCATTGGGGTTTTTTGTTGTTGTTTTTTGTTTTTTGCCACTGGGATAAATGGAGGGAGAAATTTGCCCTGTGATCTGTGATCTGTCTCTAATTCATATTGCTGAGCTAGTCCCCTGGGATCTCTGGTAGGGTGAGGGCAACGTCCATTTGGACCCCAAGACACTTTTGCCCAATAGGCAACGATTGTTGTATCAGCTACACTGCAGCAACGATTTGTTTCTATTTGATATCAATTATCTTAAGTCCTCATATTTGCAACTGCAATGTAAAGGAATCTCTAACAATATAAAAACCTTTCTTCAGTCACTTTGAAAATCATTTTTTTCCACTTTTCATTCCAATCCCCTTATCTTTCATTCCAATCCCCATATCTTAACACAAGTTAAGCCATGAAACCTGCTTGTGGTTATCTGTCAAAAGCAACATCCTTTAGGATTATAAGAGATTATTGAAAGAAGTTTTGGGAGATCTGAAGTTGTGCTTATTTTGACCTTAATCTGCTTTTCACTGCTTCAGAGGCATTGTTGGTGAGAATCTTAGAGAAATTTTAAAAAGCAGGGATACTGTAAATGTCATACTGGACTGAAAATAAAATTGTGTTCTAGTCACTGTAGCATCTTGGGGTAGTTTTGTTTTGTTTTTATTTTTTAACTTTAGACAAAACCCTCTATTTCTGGGCCTCAGAACCATTGCTAAAATGCATGGCTCACAATTAGATACTTAAAGTCTGTTTTTCTTTATCATTCTATTGATGTTGTGCTTTATGAAAATAAAACTAGAGTCGTGGAGTTATTTGAAAATGAATTAACACTACATTTTACTATTACTAGAAACCTCAGATTCTTTTTAAGTTCTATTCGCAACTACACATTGAGAGTCCCTTTTCAGAGTCCATGTAGCTCAGTGATTGCTCAAGGAAAGACTAGAAAAATATCTTTCTCCTCTCTTGTTTATGGAGAGAGATAGGGTCTCTAATTACTGTAGGACATCTGGAGATGAATAATATATTGTGGGGTAAAGTATCCTTCAAACTGTAGTGTAGTAATCACAAATCAATGAAACAATCCAAGTTAAAATAAAAGCTCTCTCCAAAGCTGTTCTCATAGTCTGTGGCTGTCCCAGTGCTGAGTAACATTTGAGTGAGATCTGAAAGGAATCTTTTAGTCCACTCCATTATGGTGAATAAATACAAATGTGTACAGAAAAATTCTAACGACTCTCTTCCTCAAAAGAACACATTAGTCTGAATTGTGATTAGTTATTTGGCAGTATCTACAAAAAGCCTATCATGAAAAAACTTCAAGTCTAGTTACTAAATCCTTCTATTAGAAGTGGTTGAATTAATGTAAAAAAGACAAGTAGCAAAACAAAACAAAACAAAACAAACAAACAAAAAAACATTTTGGCTAATTATCCTTAAAGATTTTAAATTGAGAGTGATGTCAGATAGTACTTAAAAGATTTTTTTTCTTTGATAGGTTCCAGGCTACAAAGAAGTCATCCATAAATATTTGAGGGGAAATGTCCTGAGGAGACAACATCAAATTCAATTATCTTGAGTTGATTACTTTTCTAGTAATAACTGAAGCAATATATTCAATGGCATTTCCATAGTTAACTTTTTAAAAAATATTAAACCTTTGTAGTTTTATTTTGCTAAAACCTCCTTTGTAAAACAACTAGTATTTTATTAATCAGTCATGGCCACGATAAAATAAAATTGCTAAACTATGTGCCAAAACAGATTGATATTTTATATCAACAACTAAGCTATACTCACCAAATGGACAATGACAATAGTATGACTCCACACCACTTTGGCAGGAACCACCATTAAAGCAGGGGTTACATTCACAGTAATTGACTGAAGATTCACACATTTTACCTGAAAAGTATCAAACTCGTTAAAAAAATCTTGTGCATAAACATATTAATAACATTACTTTATAACCATATGTAAAACTCTATTCTGAGAGATCGTATTTGGAGAAAAATATAAGAATATTTTACTTGACATGAGAAAATTGGAATACCTCTCAGTTCAAAATCTTATTTAGTTAACCTATTGTAAAGATGTGCTTAAAATAGGAAATAATTTACATAATCATCTTGGAAGGAACTACTGTTTTCGGGAAAATCACAAATGGTGAACGTACTTAAATGTTTTCACTGAATTTATTTTATCTTGTCAATGTTGCTTCCTTTTTCAATTTTATAATGAGATTTGAAACTTTTACAGTAAAAGTCTCACTGTAGAGATTTCCTTGACTCAGATTTTTTAAAGGTAAGAAACAGTCTTATTTAGCTTATCAAACTAAAATACTTTCACTCTCAAGAAATATCCCTTCACTGACACATATCTGCTGTAAAACAGAATAAGAAATCAGGAAACACATCATATATTTCAAATACTTAATATTTATCCTAGAGTACAGGTTATGTATAGCTTGTCTTTTTTCTTTTTTTAAGATTTTATTTATTTATTTGAGAAAGAGAGACAGAAGCAGGGGGAGAGGCAGAGGAAGAGGGAGAAGCAGACTCCCCGCTGAGCTGGGAGCCCAACATGGGGCTCGATCCCAGGACCTGGAGATCACGACCTGAGCCGAAGGCAGACGCTTAACCACCCGAGCCACCCAGGCACCCTTACCTTGTCTTTTTTCTAAAACATTAATACCTAACCAGCATATTTTTCAGTTTATAAGGACTTCTCATAGATCATCTTAAGTTGAATCAACTAATACTGACTGAGTGCCTATTACTGGCCAGGAAGGCTAGAAGATAGGGATATGGCAGTCAAAAAAAAAAAAGAGAGAAAAAAACAAGTAAGTGTCAAAACATGGCATTTCCGTTTCAGTGGGGGAGATTAATCCAAGCAACAGGAAACATTTACATTTCATAGATGAAGGAGAAGTCTCTTGAAGGCTAATATTTTGCCTAAGAAATTATAAAACTATGGCACAGACCAGTGTAGGTCTGCTCCCATATCCAGGTTTTGCAAAGCTGTGACTGAATAGTTAATGTCTAGGTAGGCCAATGTAGAGTATATGGCCAGTCCTATTTGTTTTGTTGTGGTGGTGGTGGTAATTTTTTTATGTAAATATAAATGTGTTCTAATGCCACTTTTCTATAATTTTAAATTATTTCAATAATTTATTTGTTAGTTTTCCAATTCCCAGAAACAATGAGACATTATGGTGTTCTTTGTTTATTTCCACTCATTGATATGGGGATTGAATTATTTAATTAAATAGAGTTTGTTTCTGTAAAGCTATTTTCTACTTCTTAGCATGATTGCACTAATGCCTTTATTAAATATCTTACGAAAACATGTAAGTTTTATATGCACCACTAGACTTAATGTCGAGCATAGATAATCCATTTCATCATGATTACTATGCTTAAAACAGAGTCAAAGTTTTGTTTAACTTAGTTCTGTTTTTGTGGCTTGATTATGTAGCTACAGTTGTTCTAGTTTAAAATTATAAGCGTGAGTCAGACCTCATGACACTGCTAACTAAACATGTTTCTCTACATCACAAGGTCATAAACAACATTTTTTTCTTTATAAATAAAATGGGGAACCTCCTTAAAAGGCAAAACGGTAACATTTTTAGAATACCTTTCCATTCTAGGGGGAAATAATGAAAATAGACAAGTTACTAATCTAGAGACACAGAAATTAGGTTTTAAGTATTGCAGCAATGAGCTACATTTGAGAAACAGGCAGAACAGCTTTATTATAAGCCTGTACAATATCACGCCAGAGACATGCGCTGTCATAGAACTCTCTCCTATGGTGTTTTCCAATTGAATTTCGGACAGATCACTCTAGAGAAGTGGATTTTTTTCCCTTTATATTAGTATTGCCCAATAGAGAATAAACAAGACTTATTGGCTGTACTTTTAATTACTTATTTGCAATCAGGAAAGTCACATCCACTCCTTGCATTGTTTTTCCACTATAAGAACATTCCCATGCACTATTGGACTAAGTAAGGTTTCATTTTTCTTTTTTTGGAAATTTCTTTTAGAATTATGTTAAAAGTAGCATGTACTGAGTACAGTTATCCTTGAACAACACTGGGTTTGTAAAGAAGCCAACCCCTGTTGTTGAAAATCCACATAAAACTGTTGACTCCCCCAAGAGTTAATTACTAATAGCCTGCTTTGACTAGAAGTCTTACCAATAACATAGTTGATTAACACATATTTTGTATGTTATATGTATTAAATACTGTCTTCTTGCAATAAAGTAAGCTAGAGAAAATAAAATGCTATTAAGAAAATGAGAAGGAAGAGAAAATACATCTGTAGTACTGTATTTATAAAAAATATATACATATAACTGGACATGCACAGTTCAAACCTGTTTTGTTCAAGGGTCAACTAATATACTTTATAAGTGTGGTTAGTCTAATATTATGAAAACAAGTTAGCGGGTTACAAAATTACAACTTTACTTCTGGAAGACTGGAAACGGGGAGCAAAGAGTAACCAATTTAGGGAACATTGTCATGAACAATTATGCAACTATTTGGACATATGTGCTCTCTAAGAAAAAATATGTAAGTGTATAAAAACACAAGTCTTTGATACCATAAATCTCAATTATATCTTCTTTTGAATCCTGTTGGAAAAGACTGCCTTTTAAAATTTTGGTTTAAACAATAACAACAAAAGAAAATTAGGTGGGTTTTTTTTTTTTGTAATTTATATAAACTGGTTATCTAACCCTTGTAAAATTAGAATTTAACATAGACATCTGATTTTAATGGAAATATAAACTATAGGTTATTTCAGTTAGTCCAAAATTAAAGATGGAAAGAAAACCCAAATTAAGTAAGACTTACTTATGTATTAAAAGATGCTACTATGGAAATGGCAGAAGAAGCTATAAGCTAAGAAAATATTAGTGTGAGAATGAATTTCTTTTGAAAGTTAAAATAAATTCTCAATGGAATCTGATTCTTTGAGTATACAACAATATAAATAGATATTAGTAAGAGAAAAAAATTCAACCTTTCATTTTGCATTTTAATTTAAACCAGAGCTTTATTTTCTTATTTTCTCTAGTCGAAAGATATTAAAAAATGTAAAAAATGACTCTGCTAGGAGTTAAATAAATCAATTTACTGTTGAGTTTGAGAAAAATAGTCATATTTATATGTTAATGTTAGAGTATATAATTTTACATAGAATTAAAGGAAAGCCTTGAAATGCAAATTTCTCAGGTTTGGAAAGTTCATGCTCTATTATCCAGTTAGAAGTCAGCAGCAAATTCTGTATTGTTCCCCACACATCAATCTACTTAAATTCTCATGTTAATGGCATAATGCTTATCAGAGAATGCAGCAGTTTGAATTACTCTAACATACTTCTAGTACAAAAAAAAATCTGATGTGTTGGAGCACCGTGAAGCCAAATCTTGGATCATTAACTTAATTAATACTGCAAGTCAATTAACAATATTTGTCAGAGCCTTGAGGCTTGCAAGTATACTGATAGGGCTTTCACAAAGAAATGCAACCATATCTCTAGAACATAAAAAGCCTTGTTCTATCAAGTTATGTTGTGATAGCAGCTGTTTCAAGAATAAACTGGTTTCATTGCTTTGACATTCATCAGTTAATTGTGTTGATATAAATTATTTATCATTGATAGAAGGAGGTGTGCTTTGAGAAGTATAAGCTCTTAGAACTTGAAGAATGGGAGTTACTGAAGAAGAAAATGAATGCATCATGGGAGGCCAGGGTATCCACAGACTTTCCAAGATTATAGTTTAAGCTTACAAAAGAAATTTAGCATATTATCTTCATGTTTGGGGCAGAAGGTGTGCTGAATTCATAAACTGAATCTGTTGTGATCACCTGCGGTCTTATCAACAAGGCTGTATATTCAAATTTCATTCATTCCAATAGAACATTTTAATGTTGATTATGTGGAGCAGAGCTAAATTTATTCTCACCTGTTAAATTTGAACACCTATGAGAATATGATGATTTCTTAGATTATGTGTAATATAGTCACAACAACTACTATTTTTGCATCTATTGTATTTATACATAGAAGGGAGACTATGTGAAACTATCAAAGTCCAATTTATATCTATATTGATTATATTATTAATAAATCTGATTTCCTAATATATGTGTTACTTATTCTGAATATTTATGCTTATAAGCTTTTTTTATTATTTTAGCAGAAAGTAGCTTTTTCCACACTATGTTAATGTTTCCTATTATTGTGCAAAGAACTATGAAGATAGCTCATCTAAGGATCCTGATCAAATAGTATGTTTTTTTACATCAAAAGAAAGCAAAAATATCACGTTTAAGAGCTGCTAGTAAGAAAAACAAAAGGAAAAAACAACTGTTTTCCTTTTGTATTTTAAAATATGTACAAATACAATTTCAATGATACTACAAATGATGATGTATAATGACATTCATAATATCCATGATAAGCTTACAAATATATGTTTGTTTTCTGCAGAAATAAGAAGCACTTAAGCTTCTGGAAGCCTCTTATTAATACTTTCATAAGTTGCAAATCATATTTTAAAGTAATCAAAACAAGAAATGAGTCACTCTTTTGTATCTCACAGAAAATTTCATTTCTGAACTATTCACTACATTTTGTTTATATTCTATGGTGTTCGGATCACATGATCATTGACAACGTTCGCGTACAACTTGTGATTTTAAAAGAATGACTCAGTTACAACTCCCTTCCTCACGAAAGCAAATGTTTGCCAAGTTTCTCAGTAAAATTACTATGCACAACCTGTATATAACTTTATATGTCTGGAAAAAAATTCCTATTTATACCTTCAAATGTCATAAAAGTGATGAATGGGCAAATTTCATCCTCCCCTGAAATATCAGGACTTACTTGAGACCATAGGAAAACTTCTCCATATGGTAATAAACCCT